TATCACTGCCACATGGAGTGAGAGAGCAGCAGAATTGTCTTCCTCTCAAAATGAGGTTTTAGGTGAAATTGTGTGCCAGTCTTTGCAATCTGAATGTAGTTCTTGTGGAGAGCTCAGTGCTCGGAGGGTGGTTTGCCACATCCAGAAATAGACTGGACAGGGGAGCTGCTGCTCCCAGTTTAGTCATCCCCTTTCCTTCTGTAAGGCCTTTCTGCAAGCAGGGCTGGCCCCCAGGTGCTGTGTGCTGCATCTGCCCTGCTCTTTGTTACCTTGCTGTCTGTGAGATGCATTTAATAGGAAGATAAAAGGACTTCATTCCTAAGCTGCTGTAGGGAAATTTCCTCCTGATTTTTACTACTCTCAGCAGTGACCTTGGGAGCATCACTGGGAGCGGTGCTGCAACACAGCAAGGTTTGCTCAGGAGATGGGTGGAAAGAGAAGTGCCAGGGCTGTGCCTCCTTCGTTTGGAGATGTTTCATCTCAAAGGCATGAATTTTCATCGTAGATCTACGGTCACTTGAAGGCGCAGTGGTGGATTGAGCAGTCTGTTGGTGTGAACGATTAATTCTGCTTTCAAGTTGGCATCCATCAGCTGGTGGATGGAAGGAGGTCCGATGTCTCAGCGGATCCATCTGGGCTTTGTCTGTGCATCTGGACGCCTCCTACGCAGGGTGTTTGAGCTGGTTGGTGTTACTGCTGTACTCTCTGGGAAGGGAAGCAGGATAGGCATTGTTGTGGTTGAAGACTGCTTTAGATACGAAGAAAACTTCTCCCTGTCAGCATGATGGGGGAGGTTGTACATCCTCATCTGTCACTGCTAGCAAGGCACAAGGATGCCAGCCTTGGGGACTTGGGCCATCCAGCCGATGCCGTATGCAGTGCTTCTACGTCCAGCCATACCTGTCAGCTTGGAGTGTGGCTGAGAGCCACTACTCAGCTTTAGGAACTGCAATACAGTGCAGGCACGTGGTTACAGCACAAGCTGGGCTTGAGAGAGATCTGTCAGCCTGGCTGGCAGCTCATGGATCAACTGTGTGTTCTTCCTTCCACTGATTCCTGAAGTCCTTGTGTGTGAATAGAGGCTGTGCTTGCCTTTTTTTCTTCAGAGCTGAGCTCCTGTGAGCACAACATCTCTTTTCACTCAGTGGTTTTGCATGAGAAGCCTTCACAGGGTGCCTGCTGCATCTGATGAGTGTCGAGGCTTCACGGAGATCTTGATTGCATTCTAAGGTCTTTCAGTACAGCATGTAGGTCTTGCAGGAAGGTAGCATCAGGTCACTTCTCTTTCCATCATGCTGAAAAGCACTCCTGGCAGCCAGGAGTTTTGACCCACAGCACTCTTAATGTGGCGTGAGCAGCACAGCCTGTGCATGGGGCTTTTGAGCCCCTTGGACAGGTGCTTGGCTGAGGTACTGTAACTGTGCAGATCCCATCTCTGGCTGGTTACAGTGCAAGGCGTTGTCTCTTCTCTCTGTGGAGAAAGCAGTCTTTGAGCAATGCAAACACAATTTAACTATGTGAAGCTGACTAAACTTGATAAGTGGGTCCCAAACCCCTAAAAACCATAGGGACAGCCAATTGCTTTAAAGCTTGGCAGGGCATTAATTATCCAACCTTGTTTTCCTCAGTCCTCACCCGGTGAAACCCATCAGTGCTGCAGTGCAGGAGGTCTCCAGTGAGAAGAAGCAGCAGAACAAATCCAGCCTGACCACAGCGCTGAGCAATGGCCTGGAGAAGCTGAAGACAGTCACCACAGGCAGTGTTCAGCCTGTGGCCCCCTCATCACACCTGGAGAAAACAGACCCAAAGAAGGTAAAGGTAGAGCCAAGTGCTGGGATGAGGGCTGGCTTCCCACCTGCTTGTGAGGTTGGAGGTGGAGAAAAATGGTGTTGGAGGATGTGGGATGGGGTCTTGCCATAGGGTGACAAAACTCCCCGGGGCTTTCATCCTGAGGGATCTTTTAGCTCTTAATTCCATTCTCTCCCCGTCATCCTGGCTGCAGGACTGGGTAAGCAGCTAATGGCAGGTCTCATTATGGTAGGCCAGTGGGTTCTGTTGTCTCTGTGCCTTTAGCTTTTAGCTGTTGAGGTTTGATGAAATGGTCTTTGGGGAAACCCTGTTTATTAATCTACTTAGGGCTCTGTGGTCACTTCTGGCTCCATGGAGTGCATCCAGGCTGCAGTGGCTGCATGTTTGGACAGCTGTTCCTCTCCCATCTTTTTGTGCAGCCAAGTGGCCATGTGGGAAAGCTGCTTTGTAATGCAGGATGTTCCAGGTTTATCAGGTGGGATTTAGAGGCGACAGATGTATTAAACACTGAATACTCTGGTGTATTGCTGCACCTTGCAAATGCTAAAGGGAGTAAAGGGAGCAGTGCTTTTCATTCAACTTGCTGAATGTTCTCCTTGGTTTCTGCTGCAGGATCCCAACGTGTTGGACCAATCAGCCAAATATTATCATTTGACCCATGATGAACTCATCCAGCTCCTACTGCAGAGAGAGAAGGAGCTGAGTAAGAAGGAGGAGCACATCCAGGAACTGGAGAATTACATTGACCAGCTGCTGGTGCGCATCATGGAGCAGTCTCCCACGCTCCTCCAGATCCCGCTGGGGGAAGCCAAGACCAAGTAACCTCCCGGCAGAGACCAGCATCACTTGCCTAAAGCACTTCCAGTAAACACGCTGCAAACACCCCTGCACTCCCCCCTCCTCTTAAAGAAGGCTTCTCCAGTGGCTTCTGTTCGCAGAGTTTAGCAGGAATGGTTATCTGCTCCTTCCCAACCTAAGCTTATTCCAGTTCTGGCTCCAGGGAACTGTAGGGTGGTGGGCTGTCAGCTACCCTATGGGGAGGAGCAGAGCCCTCTTCAGGAGGCAGATGCTTCCTGAGGTTCCTGTCATAACCAAGTAGCATCTTCTCAGGCACTCATCCTACCAATGCTTTAAGTGGTCCATGAACATTTGAGAGCTGGAAACCAGCCACCTCGCCCTTGTCTTCATCCTGCTACTGCTGCTCTTCTGCCTACACTCTTCCACAGTCTCTTCTCTGCAATGGTGTGCTCTGGCTGAGGGACAGCGTTAAACTGGCTGACAAAATTGGGGATGCCTAAACTCAGTAAGACTCTACCAGCATGTTACTGTCCAGTAAGTCTGCTCAGCAGGGCAGCTGGGGAAGGGGCTGCTGCTGGATGCCTCCTTCCCTTCCTGCCCCATATGCTGTACCCACAAAGGAAGGCTCTGAACAGCTGACTCCTTTTTGTGTCAGTACCTGGTGCAGTAAGAGGCAGTACACAAAGCCACAGTACTGCAGTCAGAGGCTGCAGAGACTCGAGCCAACATCACTGCCTGATTGTGAGCTGTGCTGGTTTCTTCTCTGCGTGCATGCAGGGTTGTGACGCTGCCTTAGAGACCCAGCCCAAAACTGAATTTGTAGAGAAGGGCTGGTGATGGTTTGTGCACCATCAATGCTGCAGGAGATCTCGCATGGCACCCAACCCATCACCAGGTGGGCTGTGCCCAGGATACTCCTGTATGCAGAAACCACAGCTGGATTTTCTGATCAGTATTACACTTCCTCTTTTCTGCATCTGCAAGAATTGCTTTCCACTGGCAGCCCCCTATAATTGACTTTGCGTTGTCATTATCAATGCAACAGGAAAACGCCATACAGACCGAAGCTAGTGTGCAAAGAAGGATGTCTGGCTGCCCAGCCACCTCTATGCATGATGTCCCGTTAGGTCAGACATCCACCAAACACATGCAAACCACATTCTGTGAAAGCTAGCAATCCAGTAATCAACGTGGATCACTTTCAAGTCAGTATTAGTGCCAGAACAGCTAGAATTGTGTCACACCTCCACGCCAGCATCAGGTCTCTGGCAGCTTGGGCCCACCCCTAGAAATGCTAGGCCAGCTCTCTCGGGAGTTGAATGCTTCTCGCTAACTTGGAGTGACTGTATAAAGGCCTCTGTGTTGTTTGATGTAATGGATGGTGTTGGTGTGGGGTTGGTGAGCGGTGCTCCCAGCCATGTCGCAGTACAGCGCAGCTTCTGGTTTGGAAGGGTGCTGGGGAAGGGCATATAAACCTCTTCTTGTGTCAGTATTTTGGCAAGAAGGTGCCCGTGCAGGCAGGGGGTCAGCTGGTGTGGAACTTGAGCTGTCTCAGCATGTAGGGCATCTTCTCTCTGCTGCAGATATCCAAAAGTTACTGAATTTTTTTTAAACCTTTCTATTCTTTTCTCCTTCCTTACTTCAGTATATGCCATGACTGAAAAATTGTGCCTTTTGCAATAGAACAATGGCAGTTCCCTATGAGGAAAGGCTCTGAAATTCGATTCTCAGCTGACTAACACAGCTTGGCCAGCTTTCTGTTCTGCCTGCCTGCTAATTTGAACTAGGTGAGTCTATGTTTTAAAGCAGTCAGTAGAGCCTTCCCATCCCTATGGGCAATTTGTTTTGGTCTTTGACAGAAGTGCTGTGTGGACAGCTCCATGATATGGCAGATATAAATAGAGGAGGTGATAATGAGGGAAGGTGTGGCAGATATTAGAAGACCAGATGCAGCTGGATAAAGGCACTATTGGGTCACACTCAAAGCCTGAGGCTGACAGAAGTAAGAGGTATCAGCTTAAAAGGAGATTTGGCATCTCTGCTAGTGACAGTATTTGGTCATGTCTAGCTTGCAGACTGTCGTATTAACAGGAGGATTTGTTATCCTGAAAGATAGCAGCCATGAGCCATTAGTTCCTACCTGCTTGTCCCTGATAGGGAGCTAATTGGAGTTTTGCACCTCTCTACTGCATCTTTATGTTCCTCCTCCCTCTGTATGTCTCAGATGAAAGGAACTGCAATTTCTGGTGTGAGATGTGAGTCCTGCAGTGGCCATCCTGGCTCGCTGCTGCCTGACAATCAGCTGTTTCCTTGGGTTTCTCCTATCAGTGACAGGCATTACAGGTGCTCCCCCCACACAAGTGCCAGTGCTTTTAGCTCACTACACCTCCTCCCCGTCTCTCCTCCTCCTGTTCCATTGCATCTAACCACCTCCGTATGCCCCTCTCTGCCTTAGGCAGCTCTGCCTCTTCTCCCAAAGCTTGAGCGTTTTGCACTTTATATTTTCAAGTTGATCTCAGAGCTCCAGAGGGCCGTGTCAGGGCCCCTTCAGCAATACGTGCTTCCTGCGGCTCACAGGGCTACAGAGAGAAGCAAGTGGTGGGGACAGCCAAGGCTGCCATCACGTTTCATGTCTGTCAGAGCATTTGGAAGTCCAGAGGTACCTACAAACAATGCTCATGTTTAGGAGAAGGCATCTTCTTTAGGTGCTTTTGTCTTTAATTTGTTTCTCCACCTCACTATTCTGAGAATGTTCCTCCCCCCACTGCCCAGTTTTTATTCTCTGCATTAAAGCATTTTGCACCACTAACAATGCTGTAGCCAGAGTGTGTAACCAGAGGATCTAGCTGCTTTGAAGAATAACTGGGGGAAATGTTGTCCAGTTACGTTCCAAATGCATGTTTAGTGATTATCTTCCAAAGGAGGTGAGCAGCACTGCTCTCTGTGCAGGGCAATACCAAGAGCTGCGCTGCTCTGTGTGGAATGAGCAGACAGACGGACGTGAAGGAAGCTGCTTTTGATCCAGCAGCAGCTTTTGGTGGTTCTGTTTTAAACACAGTCACAGCAATAATTCTGTCTTTTGCCTTTTGCATCCTTATCTGTCCTTCTCTTTCCACATTCAGACTGTTTGATAGGTTTTCTGCAGGGCACTGCTGCTCTCATCTCCTCTGTTTTTGTTGTCAGTCCACAACTGGCTTTCTTGCTGTTAAAGAACTCTGGCCAAGTGATTTATTTTTGTCTTTGCTGCCTCTTCTGTCCCAGAATGATGGGACAGAAGAGCAGCTGAGGTATATCCTTAAACTGGAACAAACCTGAAGGGATGTGGATGCCGAAGTGTGATGTAGACCTAGCCATATGCCTTGTCTGTGAAGGAACAGCTGCGTTCTGTGTCATAAACGTGGGGTGGAAAACCACCCCAAAATCAGAGAGCTCAGTGTTGGGGGTTTTGGAGTTGTTGATTCTCTGTACTTCGTGTACGCGGGAGGTGGGTTCTGTGTGTTTCATGTTTTAATAGTTTGCAACTAATGTTTATAAAGAGAGCTTGTTATTTACATTTTAAGCACTTTAAAAAAAAAATAAAAGTTGTTCAAGCTGTTCCTAGATACTTCTGATTTATTGACAACAGCGTCTGTGCTGATAGCACTTGGACAGTGAGTGACATTTATCTGTTTATTTTCTGAAGGAGGATGACGGTGCCCAACTTCTCCACGCTGATACATATCATTATTAGTCCCAATGCACCCGCTGCCACGTGGGGGCTGTGGGGGGTGTCGTTGCTGCAGGATTAGCTTGAGTTCATCTCTGAATATTGCCCCTTCGTGAGCTGAGGGGTGTGAGCCCCTGCAAGCTTTCTTGTGTGTGCCACAGAGCTGCCCTGGGGGTTCAGGTCTGCAGCTCCATTGTTTCGCTCCTGGCTTGGCCCATTGGTATTGTGAGCATAAAAATTGTGATTGCATTCCTGAGGATTTGTGGGAAAACAGCAGCTGAGGAGAGGAGAGAGCCCCTGACCGTGTGGTGCTGGGGGAGAAAAGAGAGCTCACGTTGCATTGGAGGCACTGCACAGCTCAGCCTTGGGTGCACAGGGAGGAAGCACGGCTTTGTGCCATGCTTTTACCCTCTCCTCTTGGGCACTGAGGGCTTATGTTTCTTTGCTTGGCAGAGGGCTGATCCACAGCCCAGACCTTTGCCTCTAGCTTCTCTGCCCTAATCCCACCCACCTGTTCTACTGCTCAGCTGTTTTCCTTTTCAAAGTCTGCTTTTTTTTTTTTTCTTCATTCATGCCTTTTCCTTCAGGAAAAAAAAAATTAACTCCCCTTAAGCTTCGATAAATGACTTTGCTGTCAGTGATGGGAGAGTTGTGTTAGCTCTAATCCCGGTTTGTTTTTCCTCCTGCCAGACCACAAGCCGTTATGTAGCTCAGCACCTGTCCAGGGATCATGTTAGCCCTGGGAGCCAGGGAAATGCTCAGCACGGCGCTGTGCGGGGTCAGGGCAATGAGCTGTGACCCCTGAAAGGCTGTGCTGAGTAAAGGCAGTCCGCAATGATGAGGTTAGATGGGGTTCTGCAGATGGCAGAGTGCACAGAGCAGAGTGGCTGTAATTAGAAGGTGGGATTGTTGGAGGCTGTCAAGTCCAAAAAAAGAGAGATTTTAAGGCTTTAGTGCTGCTGAAACTGACAGGATTATGCTGAATCTCTGCCTGCTTGAAAGCTTCAACACTGAGTTGGGACTTATGCAAATAAGCCTCATTCCTACAGGAATCATAGAATTATACAGCCATGGAATCACAAAGATTGGAAAAGACCGCAAAACTCACCAAGTCCAACCGTCAGCCCAAAGAAGAAGAGCTGGCTGGGTTTGTTGTTTGAAGCCTGAGTTGTGCAGCCCGACGCAAGTTTTCTTAAAATCTGGCTTTGCAGATGGAAGCCGACAAGAAGCGTTCGTGCAACTTTCTCCCAGAGCCAGCAGGCAGCCCAGCTCCGCGCCCAGCTGTCACGTGCGAGGCGGCCGTCAGACCCCAAATCTCACTTGGGTTCCAGACAAGTTTGCTCCGTAGCTGAAGGTTTTGTTCCTCCCCCTGCCAAAATGGAAATAAATACCAATATTGAGTTAACAGTTGCTGATCTAGGGAAAGAAACCACCCCCCCCTCCTCTCTTCCCCAAGCCACTGAAACGCAACTTGTCAGTCTGAATAGATCTGGTTAGATTGATATCAGCCAAAGAATTGATATTCTTTCTGGTATTTAACCAAAAAAGTGATAGTCTTATGTCACTCCAAATGTGGTTTTAGATAAACAGATTCTCTCCCCTCTGTTGTTATAAAACATTTAGTGTGTCAACATTAGGGATCGTATCAATTATCTGGCTCGAACTGCAATGGGAGGGAGGGGGGTTTCCCTGGTATAGAAATTGAGAGATTTGGGTTATAATCCATACTTACTGTAGAGCCCTAATGATTTTCATAGAATACAGAATGGCCTGGGTTGAAAAGAACCACAGTGCTCATCCAGTTCCAACCCCCTGCTATGTGCAGGGTCACCAACCAGCAGACCAGGCTGCCCAGAGCCACATCCAGCCTGGCCTTGAATGCCTGCAGGGATGGGGCATCCACAGCCTCCTTGGGCAACCTGTTCCAGTGCTTCACCACCCTGTGCATGCAAAACTTCCTCCTAATATCTAACCTAAACCTCCCCTGTGTCAGTTTAAAACCGTTCCCCCTTGTCCTATCACTATCCACCTTTGTAAAAAGCCGTTCCCCCTCCTGTTTATATGTTCCCTTCAAGTACTGGAAGGCCATAATGAGGTTTCCCCAGAGCCTTCTTTTCTCCAAGCTAAACGAGCCCAGTTCCCTCAACCTTTCCTGAGTTTACTTTTCTGAAGAACAGGATGAAACCTTCAGAAAAGTTGCCTTATGAAATATTACTCGTAGCAAGAGGATGTTTTTCCCCTTTTAAGACAGTGTTAGAGCTCCAAGCAGGGTTAGACCCTAATGAAAAGCAGACCCTAATGACTCACTGTTCTTTGAGATATGGGGGACATCACACCGTGAAGAGGGGGTGAGAAGGGCAGCAGTGTCTTGTGGGGTCAGGAGGCTTAAGCCCTGTGGAAGCCTGTAGGCAACATGTGCTCAGCCTGCACTGCAACTGGACTTAATTAAAGGAAGCAAACCATTAACTCTGAGGACAAGGTTCGAGGGCAGCAGTGGGTACAGTCCAGTCAGCAGAACTGGTTGTGGGAGCAGGGCTTTACTCACCACGAGGGATTGAGTGCTCCCTCAGCCCAAGTCGGGATGTCTGCCTGAGGGTAGGAATGCCCTACAGGGGGACGTGGTCAAAGTGGGGGTGGGTTGGGGTTGGGGTTGGTGATCCTAGAGGTTTTTTCCAACTGATTCCATGATTGTATGGTTCTCTGTCCATTCCTGGAGGCATATCACGCAGTGATGCAGAGCAAGGGCAAAAGGGGAGGTGATGCTGGATGCCATGAGCTCTTGTTGGTTGGAAGGAACAACATGATTGTAATGGTCAATAGCAATTGTTAGCTGCCTGTCAGTGTAAGAAGATGTATTTCCACGAGGAAAGGATGAAACCTGAGGGTTTTAGGAGCTTTCAGCTTGCTGTGGCCATTTGTACAGAGTTTATGTGAATGCTGTTATCTCTGTCTCATTCCTTCACTGCCCCGTGCCTTATTGCAGCTCTGTCACATAGACAACAGCGTTTGGGTGAAAAAAAGGAGGAGCACTGAGGTGAATTGGTCAGAAACATGAGCTGTGAGATACACATATGCTTTTAGGGAAATAAGAACACATTTCTGCCAGGGAGATGTGGCGCGTTGCCTCAGATACTCTCGTTAGTTGCTAAATTCAACTGTTCTTTCTCAGAAAGCGTGGAAGACGATGAGAAGCAGCTGATGACACAGGAGAAGGGCACGCTGTGTGTATCCAAACCCGACGGCTGCTTTGAGGGCCCCTGTGTCCTGGCTCTGAGGTGAGGAGAGCCCCTGTCCTCTCAGGGCTCCCCCTCAGCTTCCCGCCAAACTACCCCTCCCGTCGTGCCCCGCGCGCCGCCCCCCTGAGGACTCCATCTCCCATGCTGCCCCGCGCCATCGCGCGCTCCCATTGGCTGGCGGGAGCGGGCCGCCTATCCCGCCGTCCCTTTCGCCGCCTGCCGCGCAGACTCCGGGTGAGAACTACACTTCCCATCGTGCCCCGCGGGAGCTGCGGTGGGCCGCGGCCAATCAGAGAGGCGGCGCCGCAAGGGGCGGGCCCGGCGGCGGGGGAGGCTGTTTAAAGTGGCGCCCGCAGCGCGCGAAGGGGATGGCGGAGCCGGCGGACTATCCGCCCTTCCAGCTGGGGAAGCCCCGCTTCGAGCAGGTACCGACGGCGGGAAGGGCACGGGCATGTGGTGGGAGCGGTCTTTCACGGGAGCGGCGTCGGGCCCCTTCCCCGAGAGATAAGCCCCCCAACCCCCCGCCGCCCCATTTTCACCCCCTTTGCCTCCGGCGCTGCGCTGATTGGTCCGCGCTCTGCCTCCCATTGGCCCACGCTGCTGTCACTCAGAGCCGCAGCGCCCCGCCCCGCGGCGGCTCCCGCGGCGGGCAGCGATTGGAGCGTCCCGCCGTGCCCCTGTGGCTCTGCGGGGAGGGGGGGCGGTGTGAGATTGTGGGGTTGAGGGTTCGAGACTGGGGAAGGTTTGAGGAGTGAGATGTGGGTCCCAGGAGAGGCCCGTGCGTCCTGCTGAAAGATCCTGATGTGGCCCTGGGGGCAGAAAGGGCTGAGCCCGCACCCGCTGGGGTGTCTGCCAGCCCAAGGTTGTGTGGAGGTGATGGGGGGGGGGGGAACTGTGAGAAGTGGGTGCTGGGCCCCTTGGAGTTGATGCACAATGCAGTAATTAGCTTTGATGTAAAAGAAACAGCGTGGAAGATGCGTGGTGGTTTTGTGCTGAGGAATGTGGTGTTGCCAGAAGTGGTGGTTTTGGGGTTTCTGCAGGATTTGGGCCTGCTTTGGGCTAAAGTGCGAAGTGGTGGCTGTGATGGGGCCTTTGGGGGCCTTGAGGGGCCTTTTGGGGGGCCCTGAATGTCCTTTTGGAGACCTTGAGGTGCTGTTTGGGGACCCCAAGTGGCCTTGGGGGTCTGGAGGCACCTCTTGGGGACCATAGAATGGCCTGGGTTGAAAAGAACCACAATGCTCATCCAGTTCCACCCCCCTGCTATGTGCAGGGTCACCAACCAGCAGACCAGGCTGCCCAGAGCCACATCCAGCCTGGCCTTGAATGCCTGCACGGATGGGGCATATACAACCTCCTTGGGCAACCTGTTCCAGTGTGTCAGCACCCTTAGAGTGAAAAACTTCCTCCTAAAATCCAACCTAAACCTCCCCTGTGTCAGTTTAAGACCATTCCCCCTTGTCCTATCACTATCCACCTTTGTAAAAAGCCATTCCCCTTCCTGTTTATATGCTCCCTTCAAGTATTGGAAGGCCACAATGAGGTCTCCCTGGAGGGGTCTTTTGGGAGGATCTCCAGGGGCCTTTTTGGGGGGTCTTGAGATGTCTTTATTGGACACTATTGCTCTTTGTTTTTGCCTCAAGCTTCTGATACAGCTCTCAAAGTTCCTGCAGCCTCCTTCAGCTGCTCCTGGTGCGGGATGAGGCCGCTGTGAAAAGGAAAGAGCCATCAGAGCTATCAAATCGAGGAGGAGCCGAAGCCTGCTCGCTAATAAGTCCTCCCCCCGCCATTGGGGAAATCTCCAAGGAGACTTTCTTCCCACCATCCACACGAAATCTGCACAGGACCACTGTGTGCCAACCATCTGACTCGCTAATTGCAGATCCCAGAGCTTGGCTTGACCGAAGCCGCCCATTTGGGTGGTGGAGGAGCCTGGTTATACTTCCTTCAGAGGACCAAATGTCTGTGCTCTTCCACATTGACTTATCCCTCATTCCTCCGTAGGGTTCAGGACAGGAGGTGGTGCAGGGATCTCCCCAGAGCCACGGCTGCCCTACAACAAGGGAGGGTGTGCCTGCTCGGCTGCACGAACCGAGGGATGCTCAGGCTGGGGAGACAGAGCTTTTTAATAAGGAGAGGAGGAGGAGGAGGAGACGCTACTCCCTTCTAGACACCACAGATGATTCGAGGCACACTTGGCAGCGCGTCAGGCACAGAATCAGTGCATTCTGTTCATTAAGGAGTGACTGTCACTTGTAGCAACGTTTAGAAAATGTTTCGAGGGGTATGGCAGGATGTTAATGATCGAGTACGCATTCGAGCAGAGCTGTCCTCTCTGGGTGTATTTCCATAGTGTCCCAGGGGTGAAGTATCCTGGTGGTGAAAGCACCCTTGAGAACAGGATCCCTCTCCTCTTCAGGGATTTGATTCGGTTCCCATAGTTTTTTTTTCTGCCAAGCATTGTATAAGACTGGTGGTAGGGTTGGGTTGCTGGTGCCTGTGTCCTGCTGCTTCCCATCTCTGTAATGATGTCCTTTCTCCTGCTCCATGTCCACAGTGCATTCAGACAGCCCATTTTGGGAGCTGGCAGCTTTTCAGGGTCATGGAGCAAGTGAGGGAGGGCACCTGGCCAGGTCCTGTGGCCTGGTTGCACCATCCTGACCTTCCTTGGATCATGCCGGTATTTATTTACCCATCCTGAAATGTGGTTGGTCAGGAAATCTCCATCTCCAGGGCTGCAGGATTGTGCTGGGAGGAATGTGTGAGTTGCAGAGGAGCTGTGTTAGGCATCTTTGTCCTTGCAGGGGAAGAAAGCACAAGGAAAAGTTGTGTGCTAGCAACAAGAGGCTTGGGGAGCAAACTTGCTTTGGAGGAGAGGAGGCAATTTCTAAGGTTCAGAGTCTTCAGAGTGACCTCAAGTTGTGCCAGGGGAAGTTCAGGTTGAATATTAGGAAAAACTTAGGTCAGGCACTGGCACAACTGCCCAGGGAATGGTGGGATCACCATCCCTGGACGTGTTCAGGAACTGTGCAGATGTGACACTTGGGGACGTGGTCATTGGGGATGGGTTGGGGTTAAACTTGGTGATCTTGGAGGTTTTTTCCACCTTTAATGGTTCTGTGGAAGGAGTGGAGCAGTGTTTAGGGTGGCTGATGGGAGGCTCCTGTCCCCAGCATGGCCCTGCAGCTCGTTTCCCTTCTCCCACGTCTTGCTTTGCCGCTCACTTGTTTGTCCTGCTCTTCAGGCAAGTCACATCTATCAAGTCACATTTCTGGTTTCTTTGCTGGGAGCAGCTTTTGCCTCCTGACAGAAGCAGGTTATTTTTAGGTAAAAGAATAAGGGTAAAAGAATAAGGACATTAAGCATGAGAATGCATGACCGGGGCTTCGTTGTCTGACAAGCAGTTCTAATTTATTAAGCACGTTCCTTTTTATTTATTTATATTTAAAGTTAGTAGGTTATGCTGTCTGCTCCCTCCAACACATTATACTGAAGTTTCTGTAACCCTGCTTCAATCCAGGCCAAATAAATGCGTGTTAGGAAACACTAAAGAAGGTGTGGGGTGTGGTGGTTCACCAAACAGTGCTGTAAACTGCTGCGAGCACATCGTGCCAGTTAAACTTTGGGGTTTTTACTGCTGTCAGCCCTGGAAAAAGCACCATGGGGCTCTGCCAGCAGGAAGATGTCCCAGATCTTGGATCCTGTAGGGGAAAGAGAGGGAAATAAGGAGGATGAACCTAATGCAGAGCTGCAAGCTTCCTATGTTGCTTGTGCAGCTCAGTGGGAGCTGGGGGCTCAAATGTGTGGTCGTGGGCTCAGAGCATGCTTATCTCAGAAGCGTCCTGTGAGGATGTTAATGCTGAAAATCATTACTGCCTGCTCTCAGTGCACTTTGATCTGGGAATTTAAAAACCCAACGTGTTTACTCCTCTCTGAGTCAATCCCGTGTCCCAGATAACCCCTGCAATAACATGCAGGTAAAGCAGCCCTCGATTAGATATGCCTCTCAGGAGCTTGATGGCTTGCTGATTGCGTGTGTTAATTGCTGAAAGCCTTGATAAGAGGGCCCAGAGCTGCCTTAGAAGGATATTAAATAAACACAGGAGTTCCTACTCTGGCTTCCACCTTTAAAGCCGTTTTCTACTGAAATTGGATGAGCCGCCTCATCCACTTTGGAGAAGGGATTTCCTAAGGAGGTTACAGGGGGATGTTTAAGGCTGCTTTGCAGCTGCTGGGGCTTTGCTGTACGTGCAGGTCCAGCCCAGTGTGTGGATGCTGCTGGAGACGATGCTGGCAGGCGCTGCGCGGTGCGAGCTGCCAAACGTGGCTTTCTCAGCCCTGAATTCGGGCTGACCCTGTTTATCCTATGCAATCGGTTGGGTTCTGCAAACACATGCTTAAAGACGAATTGCAGAGGAGAAAAGGAAATACAGACACCTTTTGGGTTTGGTGTTTATCTGCTAACTTCATCGAATCTGCCAAAAAAGCCATCCGTTGGCTTTTTTACATCTCTGTCAGCCAGGATTGGATTTCAAATGGAGTTTGCGTCGTGTGCTGAGGGGTGTTTTTTGCTCAGGGGTTGGGTTGAAGAGCTGAAGGTAAGGCTGGGAGGTGTGCTAGGGTGAACCAACCTGGGAGCAAACTGTCGGATGCGTGCTGTAATCCCACAGCCTGCAGCAGCAGGGGAAAGAAGAGGAGCTGCTGCTAGAGGGTGAAGATGAAGATTTGCCTCTTTGCTGTGGCTCTCAGGGCATCTGAGCCCTCACCTTTTACTTCAGGTGGCTGAAGGTGCAGGGATGGGCTCCTGGCCCTTTAATTTACTCAGATATGGAGTATTAAAGGGCTGTGATGGCACAGCTTAAGCCTCAACTTGTATGTGGGGTGGGCTCCCAGCGTGTAATTGCACAGCACTGCCGTGCCAGCATGCAGTTGCTCAATGGCTTGTATTTTTTAATATATATTTTCTGTGGTTTAGCTGAAATCTTTTCCTAATTAATTGAGAGCTGACGTAAGCCTGGCTTTTTTTTTAATTTTTTTTTTTTTAAACTAGAAAGGAAAAAAAAAAAAAAAACAACCAACCAAGTCTGTGTGCCTTTTGCTCTGGCTTAATTAAATCTTTTTTACAATCACACTGCAATTAAATGAGTAAAGTTGTGCGTATCTCCTTCCAGTGCTGAGGAATGCCCACCTGCTTTAAATGAAGGTGATTAACTGACTGCTTGCTAATGGCCATTTACTCCCTGCTCTTCTCTCCACATTCCTTTTTTGAGCATTTTTTGCTGGTGTCCTCTATGTCCTGCATGGCCTGCACCACATCCAGGCTTGAGCTGGAGCTCATTGCTCTCCCTTGCTCTGTACAAACTGCTGTGGAAGGGAATTAATATTCCCTTCTAGGACTTAGTCTTGCTCGCAGGCTGGTGAGAAGCAGTCCCAAAATAGCCCCGATTAATCACAGGAAAATTGCAGTATTCAGATTTCCTCTGAATAACCGTTTACTACAGCAGATGTTGCTGGAATAAAATGGTGAAAGAGATGCTGGATGTGTTTGGGATGTGAAGGTCAAACTCGTGGGTTTGTTGCAAGCTCTATCCATGGCATGAGCACAATGGCCAGAACTGGAAATAACCCCAATGAAAGCAACAGTCCTCAATTTTCATTGAAATCTGGGACTGGTTGGCTGGTAGGGTTGGTCTGTCCAGCACAGACTTTGGAAAGAGGTGGAAATACATTGGTGTCCCCTTATTCTGTTGGGTATGGATTGATGGATATTGGGGAAAAACTTCTTGTCAGATGGTGTGGTTGGGCACTGCCACAGCTGCCCAGAAGTGGTGGGGTTATCATCCCTGGAGGTGCTCCAGAACAGTGGGGACATGGCACTGAGGGTCATTGGGCATGGTGGGATGGGTTGGGGTTAGAGTGGGTGCTCTTATAGAGTTCTTTTCTTTATGATCCTATGAGTGTTTTTTCCTTCCGAGCAGCTCGTATGAATAGCAGCAAGGAAAAGCACGTTTGTGTAATCACGTTTTCAGACAGCTTCTGCTAATTTGGAAAGAAAGGAGAGCCACGGGTGATCTGTCAGGTCTCGTTGCCTTCCGTAGGGGTGCACTCCATCTCAGTTGAGTTTGTCTGTGTGGCCCTGGTGAGCAGAGCCATCCTGGAGCTGGTGTCAGCCCAGGGAAGAAGCACGTCTGTCTTCCCACTGTCTTTTCTTTGAAGTAGTGATGGCAGGGGGATAATTTCTTCATTTTTCCCACTTCTTTTAGAAGTGCAGATGAAAGAAGCAGAAGCTGGAGTAGCCTTGAGTGCCAGCAGGAAAGCGGTCAGTCCTGGAGCAGCCTGCACCATGAAGATGCTCTGTGATGTCTGAGCAAGGGGCACTGCAGATCACTCAAGTGGAGAACTGAGTTGAGAGCTGCTCCTGGTTGGTCTTTGTAAAACAATAGGATTGGAAGGAACCTCAGAGCCCCCCCAGCCCCATGGGACCCCTGCCTTGGGCTGGATGCCCCCCACCAGCTCACGTTGCCCTTCCTTGCCATACAGCTCTGTGTGGGGGGGCTTCATTCTCAATTTTTCTTGCTCTGGACCTTGGTGTGTAATTCTGCTGTACTGTGAGTCAATGCTATGACCCCACTCTAATGGCCCTGCCATTGCCTGGGCTGCAGTAGGATGGGTTTGGGCTGCTGAAGCAGAGTGAGTAATCAAAGGAAGGTAGCAACACGCCAAGCTCTCAAACGCTAGAAAGTACCAGAATTAGCGTTAATTAAATCAACGCTAATTAAAAACCACTGGGATTTTTCCCC